CACACACACACACACACACACACACACACACACACACACACGCACAGCACAGTGGCTCAGTGGTTAGCCCTGCTCCCTCATATGGAGCAAAAACAGAAGTTGCTGGAAAAGCTCAGCAGGTTTGGCAGCATCTGTGAAAGGAAAAACAGAGTGAACGTTTCGGGTCCAGTGACCCTTCCTCAGAAGTTCCCAAAACGTTCACTCTGTTTTTCCCTTCACAGATGCTGCGAGACCTGCTGAGCTTTTCCAGCAACTTCTGTTTTTGTTCCTGATTTACAGCATCCGCGGTTCTTTCAGTTTTTATCTGTATGGAGCTTGCACATTCTGCCAGTGTCTGCCTGGGTTTTCTCCAGGTGCTCTGGATTCCTCCCAGAGTCCAACGATACGCAGGTTAGGTGGATTGGCCATGCTAAATGCCCATAGTGTCCAGGGATGTGTGGGTTAGCCATAGGAAATGCAGGGCTATAGGGTTGGGGGTGGGGGGTGGGGGTGGTTGCTGGGCCTGGGTGGGATGCCCTTTGGTGGGTTGATGTGGACTTGAATGTAGGGTTTCTGTGAACAACAAATTGGTGTTCAATAGATTGTAATTGCTAGAGCAAAGAGCAGGGAAAAGTAGACAGTGTTCCATAACATAAACAATGCATTAATGTTTTGTTGATTATTTCATCAAAGGTGATAGGATTGTTCGATTAAGGATCTAGGGGCTCTTTGTTTAGGCTGGTGTGGTGGAGGGTAGTATCCCTACCTCTGGGTCAGCAGGTCTGGGTTCAAGTCCCACCTGCTCCAGAGGTGTGTAATAACATCTCTGATCAGGTTGAATGAGACAACAGTGTCTGTGGGGTCTTGTGACGCAGTGGTAGTGTCTTTGCTTTGGTGCTGCAAGTCATTGAGTCAAACAGCACAGAAACAGACCCTTCGGTCCAACTTGTCCATGCTGACCAGGTTTCCCAAACTAAACTAATCCCATTTGCCTGCATTTGGTCCGTATCCTTCTAAACTTTTCCCATCCACGTACCTGTCCAAAAATCTTTTAAATGTTGTAATTGTAACTGCATCTACCTGTTCCTCTGGCAGCTCATTCTGCATATGCACCACCCTCTGCATGAAAAAGTTTCCTCTCAGGTCCCTTTCAAATCTTTCCCCTCTCAGCTTAAACCCATGCACCCTAGTTTTGAAATCCCCTTCCCTGCGGGTAAAACCTTTGGTTATTCACCTTATCTACGCCTCTCAAGAGATCGATTGATTAAAACCAGCTAGGGAGAGTTCCTATGGTGCAGTGGTTGGAACTCTGTCTCTGTGCCAGGAGGCCAAGAATCAAGTCCCACCTTCAAGACATTTCTGAAGAAGAATCACACTGGACTTGAAATGTCAACTCTGTTTCTCTCTCCACAGATGCTGAGTTTGTCCAGCATTCTGTGCTGGTAATGTAAGGAACTTAGGGCACATGTTCAGTACCTTCTGGCAATGAACAAGCACAAGGTAGCCACCCACACAAACTACAAAGACCATCTGTTTCCAAGTTACAATCTCTCTTCCCAAGGATATTCCCACAATGGAGAAAGCTTCCAAAGGAAATAGTTATGTCCCCAGCATGTGAAATCTCCCAGATCTGTCTCTAGATGGTTCCCATTGATAAGCTTTTCATTGACCAGACTTCATTTCAGCAGGTCACACATGGGCACAGCTGGCACATTGGCAGAATGTGGGTATTTTAGTCTGTGATACCAACCCAGCTAACTGGCTCCAATGCACCCGCTGAGGAATTCCTCAACATGTAAAGAAGCAACAAGTTAAAAATTGAAAGCAAAGAAAATCTGCCAAGAAAATGAATGACATGAACCTATAACATTGTCAAGAAGCATATTTCGGAAATTATTTCACTCTGACACCAAGTGTGGGAATTTACTCTGCCTAATAAGTCTGATACCTTTGTAACATTTTTTTAATACATATGACAAAGCAGAAAACCTATGAGATAATGATTAAGTGAACCCAAGTCTTCTCCACCTGAACAGGGGAGGTGATGGCCTAGTGGTACTGCTGCTGTACTATTAATCCAGTGACCCAGGTTCAAATCCTGCCATGGTGGATAGTGGAAATTTGAATTAAAAAGAAATCTGCAATGATGACCATAAATCCGTTGCTGGGGGGAAACCCATCTGGTTTACTAATGCCCTTTAGCAAAACAAGCTACCAGCCTTATCTGGCTCAACCTACATGTGACTCCAGGCCCACACCAACCTAGTTGACTCTTAGCTATTAACAACAGAAGATGAGATGGTGGCAAAATTAAATTGGTTTTTGAGGTTGGTTGGCTCGCCGAGCTGGTTTGTTGTTTCGCAGACATTTCATTACCCTGCCAGGTAACATCCTCAGTGCGGCCTCCAATGAAGCATCAGTGTGTTTTCCCACCTGGTTTTTAAACTCTGGAGTCCGTAGAGCTGGATTACCTCACTTCCAGTTTTTCTTAGTAGTGGAGAGTATATGGGGTCAAGTTCTATGTGTTTATTGATGGCTTTCTTCATGGAGTACCAGGCTTCTAGGAATTCCCATACCTGTCTCTGCTTAGTTTGTCCCAGGATTTTGGTGTTGTCCCAGTCGAATTGGTGGTTTTCCTTGTCCATGTGGATTGAGATGAGTGAGTATTGGTCATGTCTTTTTGTAGCCAGTTGGTGTTCGTGTACCCTTGTTGTTAGTTTCCTTCCTGTTTGTCCAATGTAGTGTTTTTCGCAGTCTCTGCAGGGGGTCTTATAGATGACACTGGTCCTGTCCATGGCGGGGAGTGGGTCTTTAGTTCGGGTGAGCAGTTGTCGTAGGGTTGATGTGGGTTTGTGTGCCACTCTGATGCCCAGCGGTCGTAGGAGTCTTGTGGTGAGTTCCGACATGTTCCTGATGTAGGGTAGTATGATGAGTTGTCGGGGCGTGTAGTATCCTCCTGATGTTGTTCGTTTTTGGTTCTCCTATGGAGCAGGAGTGTTATATCTTAAAATATGGAAGTGAGTAGCTGAGCACAGACCAGACACACCACTCCTGTTCAGTAGCATCAAAGGTTCTGCATACAGTTCAAATTTGGCTTCAAGCTTCATCAATATTAATACATAAAGTAGAACTGTTAAGTCACCTCTAAAATTCTTTGCCCTAGAGCTGTTTGCGCTGATATTTAGAATGTACTGAGATGGATAATTCATAATAGCAAGAAATCAGAAAGAAAATTCTACCTTGGAGTTATACAGCATTGAAGCACACCATGATAGATGGCTATCTGCCCGCTCAGTTTATTCTTATAACAGAGGATAGCTCTCAATGTTCAAATTCTCATCCCTGACACAGCTCTCATGATCACTGAAACTTCTACAAGCAGCTCAAATCCCTTAGGAACTGGGAATCTGCTTTTTTTTTCTCTGTAGCCATTTGCAAATCTCAGATCTAAGCATTCATCTCAAATTGTGACAGCTGCTAGAGAATACTTGACATTCATACATTGCCTGTTCGGAAACAGACTCAATAGTAGCTTTCAAAAAGGAATCGGTAATCATTTAAAAAGAAACGAAGAGTTTGTACGAACATGGGCACAGAGTGACAGGTGTGGGACCAACTGGATTACTCTTCAACACAGCTGGTCCAGACTTGATGGACTGAATGGCCTCCTTCTATGCTGTTTGACTCTGTGTTGAGGCAATACATCCCATCCACACTTTGCACTGACTGTTTTCACTGTACAAGATGACTAATCAATTCATTGAGTGCAAGAACAATTACAGCCTAAAAAGTTGGTTTCAGCAGAGAGCGAAGTGAGGGGGAAACAAACCAGCTATCCAGAAATGGAGAATGGAAAGGAAGGATGCACAGTTACCTAGCAACCATGAGGATGTCACACAGGCACTTCCCAATCAGTACAGTCCATGTTGCCTCAGGAAATAAGAAGTTCGGGTCATTGATTATAGCCAAGGCAGACTTAGACTTTTGATCGACAAGGATTGCTGGAGGTCAGGAAGGAACATAGAGCTAAGGTCTCAGTCAGATTGGTTGAGATTTTATTGAATTGCGGAGCACACATGATGAAAGAAATGGCCGACTCTTGCTCTGATTTCCTATGATCTTATGTAAAGTAGTAGCCTAAGGGCTCCGAGTGAAATTGCGCCACACCTTGTTAGGCTACAACAAGCTGGTCACAGGCACCAATCAGCCATCGCAGCACAGTTTCTCCATAATGTCCACCCCATCACAAGGCCCACAGACCA